ATCCCTGCTGCAGCATAGACTTCCACAGCCGCAGCTGCTTTGAGGTGCACTTGTTCCAGAATGGACTTTTCCATGGCCCGCAATGCCTTCAGAGATATACGTGCTCCAGTGGGGTCTTACCCACAGCCACAGTCCCTTCAGAAGTAAATCTGCTCCAGTATGGCCTTACCCATGGCTACAGTTCCTCCAGGGGTGGAGCTGCTCTATTTTGAGCTTATCCATGGCCACACACGTTGAGGTGCTCCAGTATGACCTCATGCACAGCCACTGATGCTTCAAAGTGTACTTGCTGCAGCACGGACTTATCCACAGCTGCAGATACTTCAAAGTGTACCTTCTCCAGCATGGACTTATCCTTGGGCCACAAGCCCTTCAGAGGTATACCTGCTGTGGTACAGACATAACCACAGCTGCAGATGCTTCGAGATGCACCTGCTCTGGTGGGGGCTTATTCGTGGTCACAGACACTTCAGGGTGTCCTGCTCCTGCATGAATGCATCCACATGTCACAGTCCCTTTGACCAGAGTTCACCCTGGAATTCCAGCCTGTCCAGTACAGCAGCCCAGAGACAGCAGCGATGCCCTGGCCATCTGTCAGCCCAGGTGCCTCACCATCGGTGTTATCAAAATGCTCCCAGGCACAACAGAGTAAGATGACATGCAGCACAGCAAGCAGCGAAAGCAAAAAAGCAGCCACTAACAGGCACTAGACACCAATATACAGCGAGGCAAGCAAGCACAGGAGCCTGTGAATTGATAGCTGAACAGCCATAACAGCTATAAATTTGATCTAGCACATTCCAATCAAAAATGTCATTATCTCGAACCCTTCGAGCCCCACACTGGGCACCAAAAAGGACGTTGTTCGTTTAACCCTGGCTGGCAACTAAGCCCCACACAGCTGCTCGATCATTCCCCCGCATCAAGACGGGGAGAGAATCAAAAGAGTAAAAGTGAGAAAACTCATGGGTTGAGACAAAGACAGTTTAACAGGTAAAGCAAAAACCACATGCACAAGCAAAGCAAAACAAGGAATTGACTCACTACTCCCGCATCGGCAGGCAGGTGCTCAGCCATCTCCAGGAAAGCAGGGCTCCACCACATATAACGGTTACTTGGGCAGACAAGCACCATCACTCCAAATGTCCCCCCATTCCTCCTTCTTCCCCCAGCTTTATATGGTGAGCATGACACCGTACGGTCTGGGATATCCCTTTGGTCAGTTGGGGTCAGCTGTCCCAGCCGTGTCCCCTCACAGCTTCTTGTGCACCCCCAGCCTACTCGCTGGTGGGGTGGTGTGAGAGGCAGAAAAGGCCTTGGCTCTGTGCAAGCTCCACTCAGAAATAACGAAAACATCCCTGCATTACCAACACTGTTTCCAGGACAAATCCAAAACACAGTCCCATACTAGCTACCGCGAAGAAAATTAACTCTATCCCAGCCAAAACCAGCACAAAGGCTGAAACTGTTTTCTGAGAGAAAAAATACTTATCAGCAAGGACTCTTATTTTCAGAATTTCATCTAGGTGCATTTTAACAGATAATGTCATAAAGCTCTTTTCTGCAGAAGACTACACCTTGGCAGACTATTTTGGAAATGAAATTGCAGTTAACGTGAATCAAATATTTTTTAAATACAATTTACGAACCTAAACCTCAAATAATTTTGTGAACTGTGAATGCTGAGTCCCTAAATATTCTATTCATCTGGGAAAGCTGCAGAACTGTCTCATGTGCTTTCCAATGTTGTCAGTACTCTAGTCCCCAGGTTTAGTCTTAAACCCAGAACCATACAGACACACTCAAGTGAGAAGTGATCAACTTGCAGAAATGAGAGCTCCAAAAGTTCTCATTAGTGACATAAACATCCAGATACTTCTTAATTGGGGGAGGGGGGGGGATACTCAAAATGAGCTTGAGTTTTATTAATTTATTTTTCAAGCAGTTTTTCAGGCTGGCTAACCCTTTACTAGCACCAACAGACGAATAGCAGTGGAGGGAACAGGAGCAGGAACAGTGCCGGGTAGGACTGTTTCAGCACCACAATGCAGAGAACCATCCACACTTCAAGAGGGTGAAATTCACCAGTTTATCATGGGCGAGATTTTTCTCTAGCTCTTTGCAGTCAGGTTTGGCTTTGAATTACCCGAATAATTGTAGGTATCGATACCAACAGTAAAGAAAGTCCTAGTGAGTGTCAATAATTAAACTGACTAATAATAAAGAAAACCTTACAAGCTTTTTGATGAAAATACCAAAAACAAATCTGGCAATTTACTTTATTGCAGTAGAATGCATAACGCAGATTTAGATAGTGGGGCAGAATACCTTGAGTTAAGAACAGTGTTAATAACCTGTGTATACCTCCATATACACTGCAGCTGTTCAAAAAGTCCAGAAGCCATTTGCATTGTGCCAGCCTGTTTTACCTATAGCCCATCAAAAGTATAAGTAACCTAAAAGGAAACCTAAATACTTCTTTTGTTCTTTCTGTACCTCAGTATGACCCAAGATTTATATCCAATCACTAGCAATAAGCTCAGTAACGCAGTTCTTAACACCCCCCCACCCTCCCCTTTTTCCCAAACTTCATTGGGAAAGTACTGGAGTAAAGTTAAGTTACTCGGAAAGAGTTACCCACCAGTATTTAACCAGTTAAAAAAAAAAAAAAAGGAAAAAAGAGATTCATTAAAATCTATTTTAAGTCCCCAAGTCAGGGCTACAGATGCTTCTGACACTTCTCAGGGCCAGAATCAACCCGAGAGGACAAACGTAAATTTGTTCCTAAATCAGTTCCTAAAGAACCGAGCGTGGCTCACAGCTTTTCTGTAAGACGCAAACACGGCAGAAGGAATGCCCAGCTTGGGCACAGTGACCCCGAGTATAATAGTTCATGTACAACACCATCTGTCTCCAAGTGGATGATTCAGTGTCTCCCCAGCTTGAAGACACATATTTCCCAGGTGTTTTGAGTGGCTCATCAAAATATTAGATTTAGCTAACTAAAATCCCATCTCTGACCAATTTTATATACTTAGAGCTTTTCAGAGTGATCAAGCCTCATATTGTCAGACATATAAAAACACAGCTAATTTTATATTGCAAAGTATTTATATTACTTAGGAGCACAAAATTAAGCTTCTGTATAAATTGCATGACTGTAGCCTCAGTTATGAGTTTGCTTTCTATTACCTCTGCTCAACTGTTTACCAGGTTGTTAGTTTACCAGCCAGCTATTACCACGCTGAAACGCATTTCCATGGTAGTAAAAAATGCAAATGCTTCTACTGCTACTTAGCTCCTCAAGTATGAAAACAAATGTTAAATTAATCAATTAAGGCGGAAAAATTAATGAGGCTGATAGAAGATACAATGGAAACACCACTAATTTCCTGACTGATCTATGATCCATAGACTTCAGAAAAGGACTACAGTCAACCTAACTATTTTACTTTTATAGCAAACTAATACAATGCACAGGCTCCACCCCAAGTGGAGTTTTGGCAAGATGAAAAGATACCCAGGCAAAAAGAGGAAACGATGTTTTCTTAGAAGGGACAGCCTGTTCAACTGGAAAAGCAGTGGAGAAAGGGAAAATTGGCTGCATACAACAAATATTCTAAAGAAGAAAGATTCTGGAGGGGTTTATTTTATTTTATTTTTAATTAAACTTTTAGAGAGATCTGACCTCAGAACACAGCGTAGTAAAACTGGCAAGAATGTGGCAGTAGGGTAATTCATTATTTTATTTGTTTCCCCTATCAGCCAAAGCAAAGAGTGAGTTACCTTTGAACTCTTGCCACATATGTGCCTGTTTTGTTTCATCTAACAAGCCTTTCTGAGAAGCACACTGTAAATGCTGAATGCAGCAAGCTGTGAAAAAGGGTAAGCGTCGTATCCCAGTGACCCCAGTGTTTTACAGGGCCTGGGATACAACATGTCATCTTTCTAAAGAAACAGCAGTCAGAGAAGCTATGCTTAAAGAGCTCTATGCTGAAGGAGCAAGGAAAGATGCATTGTCTGTAACAACAGCAGAGATTGGACTACCTGTTGGTTACCTGTAGAAATTTTTCCATCACAGCACGAAGCTCAGAGCTGGACTCTCAGCAGGGCACATTATTATGTGATACACTCCAGGCTGCCATACTTAAGCTGATACTGTATGTGTCATATCACCTTTCAACTAGCCTACCTTCTACTCAGAAATTCATCTGAATGGAAAATAGAAGGTTCACTCTTCCATACACAGTGTGGATGTATGCACCGCATTAAATATGTGGTATTTAAACCACATGTAGGAAATAACTTCTTGTTTATCACTTAGCCCCTGATTCAGCAAAATCTAAAGCTAAATCTAAAAACTGCAGCAGTGTTAAGACTGTGCATGACTTCATTCTAGGAACGGAATCTTACGACTGAATAGTTCAGGTGAAGATGTAATCTGGGAAGTGTAATCTGACAGGCAGTGAAAATGTAGTAATGTTTATGTTTACCAGAACTGGGGCATTAGATGCTAAGTATGACAGTTGGTCTAGATTACACTGGACCTTTAAGAGCAAATCGGAAAAACATTATTCACTATTTCAATTTGGTGGCAGTGAATTCAAACAAATCATCATATGGGTAACATGTGCTTCATCAGTCACGTAAGAAATTCAAATACTTCCTAGAGCGTCTCCCACTTTCAGGCATTGCCTACAAATTTCAATCATTAGAACAATCCAGTGTCCCTGCATTTTTCAGGGCCTGTGCCACCACTCCCGATTCATACAGCAAACCCCCAGCGAATTAAAAGAGGGTGCTGACCAATGGCTTTACCACCTTCGCACTGAGATTTCACAAGAGCTGTCACGAACCAGGACCAGACATATGTCACTGACCAGGTAAGACGAGCAAGAGACAAAGGCGTGAAAGACCCAAGTATGCTCAGATGACCTACCATGAGTAACGCGAGGTCTGCGTGGAGGCTACCTATACCTCCCCAAGATAAAACATCTCACTTTTCAAATTCCGGGGCCTACAGAAAAGTACTCCTGAGGAAGCCCCAGGTGGTTCAAGAGGAGGTTGCTGCCTGTAGCCGGTAGGCTTGTGAGGGAACCCCATGAACGGCCCCGAAGGAGGGGCTGGGGCCGAGCAGGTGCTCTGGGTGTGAAAGCGGCTCCTCCGGCCAAGCGCCATCCCGCACGCCCAAAACGGGCGCTGCACGGTACCACCCT